TTTGGACAATGCCCTTAATAACATGCTTTAACTTGGTCAGCCCTGAAGTGATCAGGCAGTTGGACTAGATGATCCTTGTAGGTCCCTTCCAATTGAAATAGTCTATTCTATTCTGTTCTGTTCTATTCTATTCTATTTGCTTCCTTATCCTTCACCCAAGTATAGGACGAGGCTTTTTTCCTACAGTTAATTCATTAGCAGAGAAGATACGGGTAAGGCAGGATCCCAACTTCATGGTTGTTCTTGCACTGGTCTCCTGCATCAGATCCCACTGTGTGCAGACCTGACCGTACCGTGAAACCAGCACCCTCTTCACTCAGGACCTGGGAATACACTCCAAATCGCCTTTCCACATGGGTAACCACGTTGTGTGGAACTGTTTTGAACAGGTAACTTCTCTTGCTAAACCTTTGTTCTCTGGGCTCGTTTCTACATGGGGCACAAGTGGCAGTTTCGTGTTAAAGTGTGGCTTTCCTGTTTCCAGCGAGCGGAGCTGTTTCGGTAAAGAGCAAAGAGATGCCAATCTGCCGAGCAGAGTCAGGCAGCTGTGACTATGAAGTAATGTCTCCTATGTTGTCTTGGTTTTGTCTTGTGGTTGAAGGGCTAGCTTCTGAAGTTGGAGGAGGGCAAAAGCAGTTTGAAAGGACAGTGAAAAATGTTCAGGGCTCTTAATCCCAAGTTTGATATTTTAAGGCCCTGATGCATGATCCGTTTGGGATTTAGTTGTGGCTGTTGAAGAATTTATCTCCCTTTGTAGCCAGGGGGGAAAGTCTGTGAGTGCTGATAACTTAGCTGCAGCTGTGTATCAGAGTCCTCAGTTGCTGTGGTTCACAGCCTGCTATGAAGTGAAACTGTGGGCATGCACCGTGTGCTGCAGAGCCACGAGGTGGAAGGTACTGCCTCTCTGCCAGGGCGGCAGCCTCTCACAGCCAGGAATGAATCAGCAAAGCCAGTAAGTAAGAACAGAATGATGGACTCCTGCTTTGAGCCAAGTCTTATCAATTTTTTCTATTTTCTTGTTGATACACAGGTAAATGCATCAGCTACCATATGCTGCTGCAGGAAATATCATCGTGACCATATAAAACTAAAGATCTGCCCTGGAAGGTACGTTGCTACTGACCACAAAGGCACAGGAACCATCCCCAGCTTTTTCTCCAGGACAGCAAGACAAGACACAGCTGGCCACTAGCAAAGGGTGAGGGAAAAGGCTTTGAAGGAAGAACTTACATATTCATTGAAGTGGTTGAATACAATAAATTATTCCATCCCAGAGATAGGTGGGGGTATACTACATACTATCTTACATCATCTAGTGCAGGTCTGGTTGGGTGGCGGTGGTGGTGTTGTGAGGCAGTTTTTTGTGGTGGTGGGAGAGTTGTGCAGGAGGTCTCTGATAAAAAACCTTGCCAAATGTACTTGTTGCATTTCTTATCACAGTAAACTTTCTGCAAATAGCTTTTCACTTACACTTCCAGCCTGATTGCAAAAGCATGCCCTTATCCCAAGGTTTTCCTCCAGAAAAGGATATCACATCGTGTTTTGGCTACAGAATAAGTTTTACGTTTCATATTTTTAATTTTTCTTTAAAAAAAGTAAGCATCTTGACAAATACACACTTTCTTGAAGTATGTTAAATTTAATCAAAAGCTCTATCTTTGCTCAGAGGATCTGGAAGGAATGACCATTCATTCTCCCTCTCTTTTTAATTGCTTTCATGAGTATTTGCTCTATCAGGGAAGGAAGGAGAATTCTTGACTTTCATAATTCCTTTATGGTTGGCTGTGACTTTGCTTACCTCTCAGTTTTGCTTTCTCTCCTTAACTGAATTATTGTCTTTAAAACAAGAAGGGGTAAACAGTGGCCAAAAGGGAACTGTCTCATGAAGCACAGCACTCAAGAACAACAGACATTCCCAAAGCATTCACATAAGCAAAAGAGGGAGAAATTAAAATGCATCTTTGTCAGGAGACATGGGGTGCGATGAGTGTGTACAGAAACCCTCTGTTCGGGAGGCATGAAACAGCAGCTATGAGAGAATTTCAGCTGACTCACAGCTGAGCTCTTGGCCACCATTGCCTTTGCACAAGGTGATGGCACTCAGGCTGAGTGCCGGCTGAGGGTGTTTTTCAAGGTACCCTCAGCTTGTTGCTAGCTGCTGGCTGGGCAGAAGAAGTGTGTGTGATCCTCACTGTCCTGTCATGTGCTGGAGCCTCAACTGGGACTAGGGATGCTTTCTGAGATGGCTCATGGTGTGTGCTAAGGGCCTCCTTACAGCTATGGGGCATTCTCAGCCCTTGCCACAGACACCATTGCTCCATCTATCAGAAACTTCAATTTGAAATGTGTTCCTCTGTTACCATATAAAACCCTAC